ACGAAAAATTCAAATTCTATGCCTATATCACGCAGTATCGGTTGCTGTAATTTCATAAGATTATCTTAGTAAGAAACTCCCGCGGCGACGCTATTTATAGTGCAAAAGCTTTGAAAGGTCAAACCCCGCCATCAATTGCACGTCAAAATCCGTTTGGCAAAAGGTCCATGATCTGCGTTTTGTGTAAATTTGAAGGTATTTTGTATTACGAGCTTGTTCCGAAGCTCACGACATCACTACCGAACTCCACTGCGAGCGGCTGGACCAAGTCTACGATGCTTTGAAGAAAAAATTCTCGATATTCATTTGTTGAAAGCGTGCGCTGTTTCAACAAGACAATGTCAAACCTCACACTGCAAAGAAGCTAAGGAAACGCTTGATTAATTGGAGGATTTCGAGGTCTCGCGGCATCCAGCTTACAGTCCAGATACTGCGCCATCCGATTATAGTCCGATTTCCGCTCAGAAGAACATTTTCTGCGTGGACTCCAATTCGAGATATTTGATCAGGTTGAAGAGGCATGTCACAAGTTTTTTCATTCAAAGCCCGAAGAATAGAAATTCAAGCAGATCCGGAGGTTTGAAATCGCTGGCAGAAGATCGTTGATAATAATGCTCCTTATTTTGAAGAACAGATTATGCAGTTTTTAATAGAAATTTCGTATGAACTTTGAAGCTTCAGTGGGTGTTAAAAAACTTTTTTCTCGACCCAGTATTTTGAGCCTTTCATGAGGTCCGTTATCGGCACTTATACAGTGCAAGACAAGTGTTTCGGCCTTTCAACCTCATCAGTAGCGCAGTGCCCTTCGGTTCGGTCAGTTCCTCAAAGACATATCCCTTATATAGCGGAATCGCCGACGAACTTTTGACACTCAATGTACGGTGGAACAATCACCGTGGTGCAACTTATTCGTGTTTTGTTTCGTTATCCATAGCCAATTGAAAATGTTGATAAATTTGATGGCGTAATAGCCGTAAACAACATGGACAATCAATCACTATGGAAGAACGTCGCGGGGAATACTTCAGCGTACGCCAAGTATAAAAAGTTCGCCGTCGATTCCCCTACATGGGGGTAGATACCCGAGTAACTGAATGCACGGAAAAGCACCGTGCAACTGACAAGGCTGTTGAGCTGTCAGATTAGATTCATTGGACACTGCAGTAAAAAACAACAAAATCTGCCCAGTTCAGCGAATGTGATGTCATAAAAACACTTTCCTAGATAACAGCGATACTAGTCGTTTCAAGATCGATTTGAACGGTCTAATAAGACAGAATAACGCTGCCATTAAAAGTAATTTCAAGGTCGTGACCTACTCAGAAGAACTTTAATTTCATTCGCATGAAAAAGCCTTTGTAGGTGTGGTATAACTAATTAACTTTCACCACTTTAAATCCTCACTCTAACTACGTCACCTATGCAGCAGATGATGATACGCTTTCTATTGATCAGACGAATCAAACATGACTTTAAAGATCGAGGATAAATGATAAAGCTCTCGGCGTTGATTAATCGGTGAGGGATGCATTACACATTCAGTTTCATAAAGCACCTTCTGACATGACTGACTGCATAATTGATCTTTACAATAACTGACGGTGGCCTACTAATGTATCAAGTCAGTGCTGCTATCCTCCCAAACAGTCTAGTAGCAATTTGCCGAACGTGGAAAGATGGGCGGCTTGGTGAACCTTGGGCGTTGGCTGGACTATCGACCACGTAGGTGCCGCAGACTATCTTTGACCACTGCGCCATTACACTACAAGAATGCCGCAGTACCTGAGCTAGCACAACGTACGTGATAGTAATCAAAAGTAGGTTGTTAAGAAGAGCAGCTACGAATCGCCTACGTATCGATTGCAAATCGTTACGGTTTTTACCGTTATGGTCGACAATATGCAGTAGGCCAACGTACGTAATAGGGAAAAGCACCGACAGTGAAATCGATGTGCTACATCCCATCACCTAAAAATTAAGAATGCAGATGATACGACATCTCGAACTAATTCATGAAAAGAAAATGAACAAGCACTGCATTACAATTGAGATATTCAAGCTACTCAAATACTGCAACACTACAACAATTCACTGACTTTCTTGTTGAGTTAACATCAGATATTTATAATGCTTTTTAACTGCATTAGATTACGTTCCAGCAACTTCGTCTTCTTCAGAGCTTGGAATGGTCAAATTGACTGCAACCTGGTCTTTCGAACAACTTGATGACCGCAACTAAAGAAACCACAAGACCTAATTTTTAATCGGACTGGTAGCATTACATCTCTTCTATACACCATTATCCTTGAGCCCTCCACTATTTGTACCACTTGAAGATCAACCGTTCAAAGTACACATGGACTGCCAATACACCCTCTTTAAACGGAAATATTAATCCGATATTTGTGAGATCATAGGTAATAATGAGACATTCCTTCTCACTTTGGATTCATGGAATTTATCCAGAACACTTCGAGAGTCTTACACTGTGAGTTTTACATTTATGTAGAATGATGGCAACTACTACTTTAAAACTCTTTCCGTTATGCGCTGGGTCACATGTGGGCCTAGTAGATTCACCTGTATCACCTGTCGTCCCGTTGATCGTAGAGTGACTCGAGCGGGTACCAGCAACACGTTCATTTTTCCCTATCGCGTGCAAGAGTAGACCAATGGGTCCTCCTCGCTCTAAGGAATCGCTGAGCATGATTTTTACCTAGTAGTACCTACTGACCTAGTAGATTACTTGATTTGAATTTGAGTCGCTACGAACATAAACAATAAAGACGATTACACAAAGTATACAGCCTACTAGAGGACAGCCGCCGAGTACTGGACATCAAAATGGGGGCTACTCTGCGCCCGTCTACAAAGCAAACAAAACAAAACATTTGCTCGATAGGTCTCATTTGTCATGCCCTTCATTTTTGGCGACTAAGCATAGCTACAAAACGTTGGTTGGGAAGAATTTGCTTACAAATGTCACTAGCAGAGGTTGATACTCAAGCAAACATTCGATAGCTAATTTGTAACCGTAGATATGACTTACATATAGAACACAAAATTGCAGAACATGCTCTAACGGCAAAGGCCGTGAATATGTGACTTCGGACACAGTTTACCTAACCTCTCGAAAGGTGTGCGGATAAATATAAATTGGCGAAGCCGATAGACCACTCAGCTTCAGTGTCAAAAAAATTAGTTTCCAAAATTGAAGCTAAACCAGATACCTAATGGGCGCACATAGGTAGCAGAGGCAAGGAAGATTTTAAAGTAGAGATCGCCTTTCTTGTTTAGGAATATAGAACTTCAAAGTCCAACATCTGAAGGTTTTCAAAAAAATTGCATGGATTCAAAAATGACTGCAGAGAGGAATAGCTCGTTGCCACTAGTGATCTCACATAATATATCAGATCAATATTTTGGTATGAACAGGTACAGTCTTGGTCCATTTGAACTCTGTAGGATTGATCTCGACATAGTACATTTGGTGGAAAACTGAAGGATGGCGGTGGAGGAGCAGAAAAATAGTTATGCCATCAATGCGACTAAATCTAGATTGGGTAGCAGTTCGTTTGGGTTACAGAGATACTTGGCTAACTAGGTTACTATCAACTTGATCTTCCATGGCTCTGAAGAAAGCAACTCGTCGAAACGCCGGCTTGTGTTAATAAAAAGTAAGGAAATAGTGATTTACTAAAACGACAAGGTTGACAAAAAGTGTCTTGGAAATTACAACAACGGGCTGCGCCACAGACGGTGTTCTCTGTCTTCACTATGAAATCTTCAATATAACTTTTCCGGTGCTCGTGTATTGCAAATACAAATCATGATCTTGAGTGAGGCGGTAAGATCCACTCAAAATGTATTTTTTAGTTATCGCCTGAACATTAGACAACTTGATGCAACCAAACGCAAGTGAATACTCATTCCTCTGCGTTTTCACCTAATTTCGTATGTGAATCCGATAAACAGGAAAATGGTGTACATTTTCTAATTTCAATCAGCGTCTTAAGACAGGATCTCTCTTCGCCTACGCGACACTGATTACACCACCTGGTGAAGCATCACGCAGCTTCCCTGCAGCCAAGCAACTGAAGATCTTCAAGGCAGCGATCTACTGACTAAGTGACAAAAGGACATGCCATTTCTAATAAAAACGGAGGGTATATCAAAGAAATGCAAGATGGATTGTAATCTGTCATAGGAGTCTTGTAATGTTGATTGCCTTCTGCATTCTGACGTTGGATGATCAAACCGTTCCTGTAACAACATCAATATGCCTAAAAGTTTCGTCTTTAATGCAACCTTAAATATAATGGAATAGAATGCAATGTCCCAACCAAGACCGAGACATGGTTTAGTCAAGAATGTGCACTACTTTTTTTGCACGACGCGTCTTCAAATTATCGTACTGTGTGAACCTCAGCATTTCATGCATTCAATTCGTTTCCTCACATCTATCACTCACAAAGGACTTCGCACATTCTACACCTTGAGCTCAGTTGCAGGTTCGAAGCTTTCATGAATATCAATGAAAGCTGTCGAGTCGATCCTCTCTCCAGTCCTAGGATAGCCCTACTACAGCGTTCCCATTTTAGTTGCAGATAGATAACTTCTTCTAACCAAATCTCGTCTTGATTTTCCGATCGCGCGTAACGAGACGGTTGGTAGGCCTGTGGCGGAGTCAAACCGACGAGATTCTCATCTATATATATTACTGAAAATAAATTTTTGATAACCTGGGCATATAAATCAAAAATGAGCATTGAATGGTGAACAAAAACGCGGCCTCAGGCGGAAATCGAATCCGCGTTTCATCCTATCCGGGGACGCGTGCTGCAACCACTACACCACTGAGGCACGTTTGCCCGACCACTCATTCTTCCTATCAGCCACCAACCTTTGACAGGTTTGGTCGAGTATGCGATTTCGCTTTATAACCCAGTTGACTGATAGCTAACATTGAGATGTTGAAGAATGAGTGGTCGGGCAAACGCGCCTAGGTAGTGTAGTGGTTTGAAGCACGCGTCCCCCGATAGGATGAAACGCGGGTTCGATTCCAGCCTGAGGCCGCGTTTTTGTTCACCACTCAATTCTCCTAGGTATATGAAAAACATCATAACAATGCGAAATGCATTCAAAAATGAGCTATACTAATAAGCTACACAAGGGTATACAACAAGACATTTATTACACCCAACACTTCGCTACCGTTATGTTCCTAATGAGATTAACAATGAGAATTGCACTGATTACAGAGTGACTGATTCAAGACTCTCACATCGAATCACTGAAGCTGTGAAAAGGTGATCGCGTCAAAACGTTTCCCATGATAGATGTTCTTCTTATAACCGTTCGTAATTTATCGACAAAACAAGATGTTCATAATGCCGTACTTCAAGCTGTTACGGATTCCCCTTACTGAATGATCCGCTTCCGGCTTTACTGAGAACCTTAGCGCAGTTCCCAAACTAGAAAATGCATGCGGAGAGTTCTAGAATTTTCACCCTGTGAAGTCCGTCTGCGACTGATAAGCTTCATGCTCATAATGAAGATGTGCGGAAAACAAACTCGTTGGATGTCCCACTAAAAACAATGATGACAACATCTCTCATTCCCTAATGCATCATTATGACAACCATATGTTTTTACAACACACTGGTGTCAACATAGGCATTCTCCAATGAGATCCTGCTTACCAAATCTAATGATGACATCTTTTGCAAAAGACATAGCCAGAACGTCATCTTAAAGGCGAAGAACAATCGTTAAAAACGTGATGACTTAGCCAACGTCGGTATGAACTCAAGAAAATCAATTTTTTTGAAATAAGAACGATAAAAGAACAACCCACTAGTGTTCATTTCGAAAAAACATGGATTAATTCTTGTTCTAATAAATTATTCCTCTTACGCCTAGCAATAAGCTGATGCGAACAAAGCGATGCAGACAGTTTATATGATTATAGAGAAGTCCTTAAGAGAAAAAACACTCTCAAGACCACTAGTGACTTTGGAACTGTCTCCAAGAGATCTGGAAAATTGCATGTCGACAGCCATGAGCAGAAACGAAGAAGTACGGGTTAGATAGGGTAAGAAACTGTTTGGAATCACCATGATCAATCATAGTGTATTAGGGCTGGGAAAACCCCCTCACACATAGTGGCCGAAGACATGGCGCTGTAAAAAGCACTAGCGCGAAGATATATCGTTTCTCCAACAACTTTCTCCTTTCTCCAACAATATAAAATGGGAGAATTTCTCCAACAAATATCAACTAGGTCACGGATTTCCACTCAGCCACCGTAGATTTTTTCGCGCAAAAGAAATGGAAGGTTGCAAAAGACAAAAGAAAAATCTGAATTTCATGATATAAGAAAAGTCGTAAGTTCTACGCTGAGACTTTGAGAGAATATCCAAAACTTAAGAAAAAGCGAGATTGATCTGTATCGAAAAACTCGAGCTGATATGTCAGAAAAGGAGCCGTTGGTGTCGTGGGCAACCACCAACTAACACTGAAACCTGTAAACCTCTGCACGGATTGGTAAAAAAATCTCAAGTAAAAGCAAAAGTAGGCCGGGAGCTTCAAAGCATAGTAAGGAGATCCATTACAATTTTCACTCAGAACTTTTCAACTGCCACTTTCGCCTTCTTTTTTTTCAAGAAGACGAATGCGTCGAACCTACAGCACATACCTATTCAACATGTCTTTGATTAAAGCTTGTGCGAGATTGATATACATTCTTAAGAATTGATGGCTGACATTTCGGCGACTTCGCCTTTCTCAGAGTCGTTTAACTACTCATATAAGAAGGTCATTGGTGTATTATCACACACTGTAAAAAGACTCCCCATGTTTCTTCTTCCTGTCTAACACAAGCTGTTTGTTTTTTCAGAAAGTGGGTGAATGCATTGGTGACTTTCCCCACATAGGTAGTTAAACTGGTCTGAGGAAGGTGGAGTAGCCGAAATGTCACCGATCGACTTCAAAAAGAAATACCAGCTTAGCGTTAAGCTTTAGAAGAAGACAGTCTGCGAGACAGTTCACATTCCCTATGCCACGATTTAGTAAGAGTTGGCCTTTGATTTATAACACCCTTTCAAAATCCGAGATCTTATCGCTTCGGTAATATTCGAATACATTGACCCTTAGAAATGAGTTCCTAAGCGACTCAAAACCGGAACGCTCGCACATGAAGGGTATTTCTAATTTCTGTCATCTACATGCTCTGTTTTCGCGTGATCCTTAAGTGGAGTACAGACATTGAAAGTCAACTACCGTACTTGAAGTTTCCAAAAAATCTTGTGTACAACAGAATATATTCAAACAATAACGACAGTGGCCATTAATGCAGAATGCATAGATTTTTCCTTCATAGATTTTGATAAATTTGGGAAACGCCTTCAACTGAACTGATATAGATGTAGTCATGGAAACTTTGGACATTCAGAGAACTACTTTTAGTCCAAAATGTCCTCGAATATCAAAAGAAAAAAGGAATAGGATTTTAAAATGAAGATACTATCTCTCGAAAATACTTCAGAGTCACCATTGATAATATTATGCAAAGGCATCGAGAGCCGAAACTGACTGGCTCCCACAGCAGTTAATGGAAATTCGAAACTCGACTGAGCTTCCAAAAACAGATAGATATCCGAAAGAAATGGTGAGAAAAGATCCCTTCCTATCTTAATCACATTTAGTAGAACTCCCAAAGTTCAGCTATATATGTCTGATTTAGGAAATCGAGATGATGAACATTTGAACTGCAAAGAAAAGAAACCGGCAACTTGTAAAGTTTACGTAGGTATCGGTGATATGGTGAACAATACAACGAATGTTTTTTCGCAAGTCTAACACCTCAACTACAATCGCCCCTACTCGAACATACCTTCAGGAAACCTGACATTTCTTGAACAAAAGGTGATTGGATGGGATCAAACGACTTCTGACAAGGTGAAGCTCCAAAAATCTCGTATAAATTAACTGATACATAAGATTGAGTATTGTCACTCATTTCAACGATTAACTTTCAAAGGCGTTGTGACGTCAAAAAGCAAGTGGTGGGCAGGATGCGTGGCTCCGTCTTAACAACAGCTGGTAGACACCGGCACATTAGTTATACGAGATGTGGAAGTGAGAAACAGAGAAGCTACTAATACTAAAGTTTTCCAAGAAACATGGAGAAGGCTTTATGCTTTCCATTTCTCTTACAACCAACGAACAAAGCTCGAAAAACAATGTCGGGATTTGAGAAGGATCAATGAATGGTGCTCGCCTAAGTAACTCGACAATCAATGAGATGGCGGGTGGGCAAGCTCAACGAACTGGCGACGTACTCTCTCATTTAAGCCTCACTGCAAAGCCAAAGCCAAATGCACAGTGGTTTGGTTCACTAATGGAGATCTTGTCAGATATCACGTAATCAACGTTTTTTGTTATATATAACAAACTATCATTACACAAATAGGATATGAAACTTTATTCGAGCCAAACACTTCAATAGGCATAGTCAAGGAATGCAATGCTGCAAAATTATTATACCATTTAAGAATTAAGGCACAGTAAGCAGAAAAAAACATCAAGTTACGTAAAATTATTGTATAAGATATAATAAGAAGAATTAAATGAGAAAAGACCACACCTACACACAAATGTTATACATTGAAGACACACATTACCGATCTTTAATGATATTGAACCAATATTCACAGATGAAAAACAGTAAACGAATTCTACATACAGCTGATTCTATGCTATTACACTAAATAGAGGGTGTAGTATAGAAATTATATAATTCAGAAGCGATTCTACTGTGGGGTTTCCGCAACCCCATTAGTAGACATTATGAATTGAAAGGAAGTTGTGTGAACCGTGTTTTATACACACATAGATCAGATTCCGCCCGTAGTGAATACTGAGAATAGCTATCGATAAGCAAGCAGATACGCGAATTTTAGCCATAACTAATGGGTTAGAAGAGATGTATCGAACGGATATCAATCAAAAAGGACTAGACAGTTCGTAAAAACCTATTAGTACACGACTTTTCGTACACGTCAGTTTGGAAGTTAAAACACTCGTAAAAGATCACAGTAGTTGCGGGTGTGATAAGAACAAACCAAACCCTCAAACTACGCATCCTAAACGATAAGTAATCAACAAATTCACAAGCAAAGAAAACCCTAACAGCGCCTACGCTTCAAATAAGGTGATTTTTGATGTCAAGAAAAGGTACAAAGCTATGAGAATATGGCAAATTGAGAAGACTGATTTGATGGTATACATTTAGACTAAGAGAAATCTGTAATGAACGTATGTAAACTTGGAAAACTATGTACAGCATTCACAAGAAATCTTAGCAAGAAGCATGTGTTGATATATCGTTATATAAAGGCGGAAAAGAAGATAGTAAGTAGAAAAATAGTAAAGTAAAAAGAGGGATAAGTTTCCTGAAGAGGTTGGAATGAAAGCGGTGAAAGCAGAATAGTTGAGCAGGAAAAAAAAACGATAACTATGTTAGAATAGATTGTTTAAAAAAACAGTATTGAACAGCACACTACTAGGATTCTAACAGTTCTACACAAAGCTGTGGCCACATAAAGACACTACCGATTAAATCTCTCTCATCCTGTAGCATCATGTCGCTGTGTTAGAGGAGTTGAAATGGCGTTTGGTGTAGTCATTGCCCAGAGCTCACAGCTAAATAGAAAACCTTTAGGTACATAACAAAGATGGTTTATTTGAGTCTCCGAAGCAAAAAAAAAGCATTGAGAACAACCTAGAAAACTCAGAAATCAGAAAAGCTGCCCAAAACACCAAGAGATTAATACTTTACGAAATATGTACGAAGTACTCACTTCAAATCACGGGGTATATGATCAGCATAGATCTTATGAAAATTATGGCGGAGCACAACGCCGGCTGCGAGGTGTTTCAAAGATGGAGCTATAATACACTGATCATTGATATTCCCAAATCCACTAAGTTTGTAAACGCAATTGACACTGGCGCAATACAAAACTGCAAACCTCGAGAAAACAACATAAGCTATCTTTACCTACCATAATCA